CCACGGAGCACATACATCCCCACGTTCAAAAAGACGCACGTTCAAAAAGTTGCGGGCGATTGGAGGGGTGGGCCGGCAATACAAAACGGTCGGGCGGGCGATTGGACGGGTGGGTCGGCAACACAAAAACGGTCGGGCGGCCGATTGGAGGTGTGGGTCGGCAACACGAAAACAGGAGGACAGACGATCAGGTGATTCGGCGCTTCCGATACCAATAGTCGCTCGGGGGATTGGAGGGCAGGGCAGGCTGGACGCGATTAGAAAAACGGGCGGACGGGCGGGAGGGCGATTGGAGGGGTGGGCGGCCGAAAAAAAGAAAATGAGCAGGCTTCCGATAGCGACCGGCAGAATTCGAAACCCGATATCGCACAGCCCGGATCACAGGCCGATCAGTAAACTTTTTGATCGACATCGATCCGCGCCGTCCGCGGTGGTGACCGGCCTACAATTCTGGCCGTGCGATATGACGTTTAGCAGTTATTATAGTAGGTGTAGATGTAGATGTAGATAGATATGGCGCAGATCTTCCTCTAGGAGACGAGCAGCAACGCACACATGACATCACAGGTAAGTCCAGTTAAGCTTCTCTTCACACGCACCAATCTCACAGTCCCTATTCTCCTCCTCCTCGCGCACACTCCTGTCAATGTCGAAATCAATGTGGCTATGGCCACATCAGCATAATCTCCCTCAAGGCTGGTGCCCACACTCAGAATCTGGCGCCAGCATAAAGCTCAAACAGCCTTGCATCGTCACACCAGCAACAAGCCAGCGTCAGGCAGAATGATCTCCAAGCAAGGGCTGGGTCAACTCATACTGTTGACTCACGTTGACCAGCCTCTGGTCTTCTGAGGTCGACGGCCCAGATCAATCGTACAGTTGCAGGTTTCCCAGGCATCCTAGTTGGACCGGATTCTTCTGGAAACCTGCAGACAACCAATGATGCACATCTGATCTACGGCTGTGGCTGACCAGCGGGTTAACTTTTAGACCTCTGGGCCTGGATACACGTGTCGGGGTTGACCATTGACTTTCTCAAAGCCAACTGTTCCTCGTAGGGCCTCTGAATGCTCATTTTGGCCCTCCCATGGGTACCCCTCGGCCTTAGCCCTTTTCCCAAGATATTCTCAGGCTCAGGGCGTGCCTTTTGACCCCTGTGTCAGGCCTTGGACCAAAAGTGACGACCTAGAGCCCACAGCTTATGCAGCTTTGAGCCGAGTTACTGCATAGCATGCAAAATAGCAATATACTGAACTTGGTTACAATTGCATGCCATCAGTGATCATGATAATCGTTAGGTTCATCCACCTAGAACCTAGTATGCCACAAGTGGTTAATGGGGACCCTCACTTTCAGCTCCTAATAACGGGTCCAAAACCTAGGCTACCAGCCGGGCCGCCCGGGTTACCCTATTTCCCCGGGCGGCCCAGCCGTGCAAGGACCAGGGAAGGTCCCCGCCAAAAAAAAAACAAAAAAAAACAAAAACAGATTTCAAAAAATCCGGAAAAAAACTATGTTATGCAGAAAAATACGCTAAACAAGTTTTGCCTCAGGGTCAAATCGAAATTCTTTACCAAATTTGTTTTTTTTCCCTTTTTTTAAGACCATTTCTCTATTTATGCATGTCATCCTTGCGCAGCAGCCATGCTAATCTTCTCTGTATCGTTCCAATTTTAACGGATGTCCTGAAAGACATTCTTTACCAAATTAATATATATCATCAAATAGAACTGCCCGGTAAACCGTAGGCAGAGAGGGAGAAGAGGACAACAAACGAGGGGCTGTGACAAACTGTTTCGTCGGAGTTTCACCGACTCATCAGGAGGCTGAATATATATTTCTTATTTTTTATTTTTTACTTCTTTTTGCAAGGAAAAATTAGTAGTCAGATGACCTTAACCAGAATACGCAATCACATTGAAGGCCAGATTGCATCACAGTGTCCGGAAAGCAGAAATGCACCAATGTAACACCAATGAAGATTTGTAACACTGAAAACCATACTTGCGGCGCTCCCGCATCTAGGTGCGCAGCGCGCTCTGCGCTGTGCGCTGCGCACGTCTGGTGTGCTGCGCACATGTGTGCAATGTATATTTCCATGTTCTAGCGGTAGATTCATTTGGTTTTGTTCTCTCTCTCTCTCTCACACACACACACACACACACACACACACAAAAAAAAAAAAATCTCTCTCTCATAGATCGGTCTGAATGAGTTTTTGGCAAACAC